ATATATATATATAAGTAAGACATAGATAGTAATAGTAATAGTAGTAGTAATAGAAATAGTAATAGTAATAGTAATAGGAATAGGAATAGTAATAGGGATAGGAAAGGAGAAACATGTACAGTGTGTTGTGACTGTAGTCTATATACAGCACGAAAGACCTGGCCCCGAGCCCTTTTGACAAAGAAACCGGCATCTGCAGAAGAAGCACCGTCTCACCGGAATTCCGATGGGAGCATCCTGCAAGAAATCGGGGGGAGGGGTTCAGGAACTGCTTCCGGTTGTCCATGTCCACAAGAGACTTCGCACATGCAGGCAAATCCTGCCTCCCGGTAGACGAGATCGCACCAGGATCTTCCATCCTGCAAGGTGGCAGGCGACAGGTAAGAGTTGTGATACTTGTCACAAAATGTTTGTGGGAAAGCTGCACGGGGACACGAGCAGCACCGACTAAAGTGATATCCACTATGTTGTAGTAAGACCCCAGAGCAACCCAAGTTTATCAATTGATAAATTTTGCTGTCTCAAGAACGACCAGAAATATAAATTGATAAACTCCGGTGTCCCAGGAACAGAAAAGTTTATCAATTTATATTTCTGTGGGCCCAAAGGAATATAGATTGATAAACCTTTCTGTTCCCGGAACCACGGAGTTTATCAATTGATAAACTTGCTCGTTCCCGGGGCCCCCGGGTTTATCAATTGATAAACTTCGGTGTTTCTGCATCCTACAGCAGTCACCCACGACATTTGGCTGTGCCCTGCCTTGGCAGCTCTCGGAACCAGTGTCCTGCATCCAAGTTGGACTGGAAAACTGTGCTGCACCTGTGTTGTGACTGGCCCGGTCCTCACCACTTTCGCTGTCTCTTCGTGAAGGTGTACTGGTAGTCCCACCAGCCGTCGTCCTGGAACCAGTCCATGCTGCACCCGCACAAGTGCCTATGCTGACCCCGATCAAAGTGTCCTGCTGGGAGCTTCCCCGACCCCCAGTGCTCGAGGAACTCGAGGAAGCCCGGAGCTGCTCCCTCTGGAGCTCCACATGGCTGGCCATCACATTGGCCAGCTGATTGGCCGTGTCCAGGGCCTTCTCAGCCATCTTCTGGCCAGCGCCGCCTCGGGTCCTTGCACGGGCACGGCCACAGCCCGGAGGCCAGATGTTGCCTTCGGCATCCATGAAGCCCTGCAGCTGGACACCACCTGGCTTCGGACCTGCCCGGACATTTATAAGCTGCTGCAGAGGCAACTGACAAGGAGAAGCGAGTGCCTCCACTTGCCCATGGGGCTTTCCCCTTTGGCCCGGCCACGGAGACGATGCCAGCCTGTGCGGTTTTCGGTGTTTGTGCTGCCGGCGAGCCAGAAGGCCCTGCCAGGCGCACAACTCAAGGAAATGTCACTGTGGCCTTTGTTGGCACCTTCATGAGGGCCCTTTCCTCGATTCCACACAAATACTGAAGCACTCAACCCAACCAGAAATGCCACCGGCCTCCTTCGGCTCCTGCTTGTGCTTCGGCTTCGGGGCCAGCATGAGCTGCCGGTCCTGCCAAGGCAGCCGCATGCTTCTACATTTTCAGGACAGAAGAACCCAGGGTGACCTGGGCGATGCCGGGNNGAAGAGGCTTCCTGACTTCACAATCACAGAAGCTTTCAACAACTTGAAAATGTAGCCCAGCACAAGAATGCCTCAGGCCCATCCTCATCATCAGGTGGGTCCTGATCACTTCCAACGAAGCACACAAGAACCGAAAACATGTCCAATGAACCCTTACAATCAGCAAAGAACTCCTCTGGCCAAAACGGCACCGGTTCTTCTTCCTGAGTTCCACGACAGCATGTGAATGCACCCACCCAAAGCCCACAACCCACTTCGGCCTCTTCGAAGTTCTCCTCCTGATGCACGTCCTCGGGATTGTTCAAGAAAAACAGATCCACCCAGGTTTGGGCTTTAGGTTTTGTCAGAGCTTTGAGTGGTGAAGGTTTCCAGCAATGCATATATACAGGTCTACTTGAAGCTTACTTTCATATGTACCCTAGCCCTAAACCCTAAACCCCTATAAATCCCTAAACCCCTCAACCCTATAAACCCNNAACCCTGACCCGGAAACCCTGGTCACAGAACATGCCATGCTGGGCACGATGCTTCCTCGTGGTCATCTCCAGAAGCAGCCGGAGCCTGCTTGGAAGGACATGGTATGTGTTGTTATGGGCTTGGCTGTGCGACTTTCCATGCTGCCTTTTCTTCCTCCTCAACCGGGACCTCCTGGCATGCTCACATGCAAGCATGGATCAACTGCACTCGTCTAGCTACAGATGTTGCAGGGGCCATGGCCTCCAGGTCGTCCTGGCCCTGCAGGTTCTTGCTTGCATCCTGTGCCGACAACATCGAGTCATGTGGCATCAAGGAAAAATCGGCAAATGCCAAGCCTCTCTCTTCTTGAAG